TCTAACACTCTATCAGCAACTTCTTATCTCCTAGAGGAAACACAAACCCTACCCCTCACACAAAAACAGGCCAGCTACTTCCATAGGCCAGCTCCCCTATTGGCCCTTGTGGCTCAGGTGTGAGACATCTGGGCTGGTGCTGCATTAACCTTTTGCTACCCACCAGAACCCCTTGTGTCTCTGCAGTGTGCTAAGAGGTAACCACTCTCAATCTTGTCATTTTTAATTTTAAAACTCAGGTTTTCAAAGCCAAGCGTTTCCTGTTTGTCCCACAGAAGGGAAAAACTGAAGAGTAAAAGACAGATTTGCAGCAAAGAGTTTTCACTTTCATGCAAGCTATAAAGTATCTCATTCCCAAAATACCATGACTGTGTGACAAGTGCAGATTTTAACATGAGATGCCTCCTCTGTTTCATAAAGTAGGTTTAATGCTATGGCTAAGAGACAATTCCCATCAGTAACCTCTCCTGAGCTTGTTGCTTGGAAAAGAGCAATTCCAAGTCTTCTTGCTTACCAAGCTCCTGACTTTGGCAATTAAGAATCCTCATCCTTTAGATCTTTCATTCCTTTTTTTATTTTATTTTTATTGACAGATGAATTTTGTGCTTAAAAGATGCTTATTTGTTTCCTCTTTTGTGCATCTGCTGTTAGCATAGGATGCCATGATCACTCTGGCTGTCCTGCACCCTACAACGCCAGTCTGTACAGTTGATGAGCCATCAGTGGAGGTCAGGCAGCATGCTGCATCAAACCCTTCTGTCTGAGTAGATATGGATTTATTGGCTCTTCAGAATAAGAAGGAATAACAAGAGGAGCCCTTGTTGCAGATAGCTGGATGTGAAAGTACATGATGCAAAGGTACCAAATGCCAGGTACAGAGTAGTTTGCCTGAGTTGCACTGAAAAAAGAAGGCAATAGTGAGAAACTGCTCTGTATTCTGCTGAGAGCTTCACAAAAATGTATGATTTCATGTCAGGAGCCAATGGGGACTCTGCTGGCTGGATGCTGTGTGTCTCTACTACAGCCACCTCATAGGTCTCACTTAAATGGAAGAGCTGCAGGTGGGAAGCAAGGTCACTGGGGAGTGAGCTGAGGGCTGAGACGGGTCCTGAACAGAAAGAAATCTGTGCTAGGAGGTAAATTTACCTGCAGTAGCTCAGCAGGTGTGTTCTTACTAGTGGGATGTGCCCTGTGCTTTATGGAGTGCTAACAGTACCACAGTGGGAGCAGGGAGTCCCTTGAATTCAGTGATGAGCAAATTAATGCAAGGTGTAATGCTCTCTGGGGTTTATGAATTTAGCACTAATTAGTGCTTCTCTTATCTATTTTAGGCAAGTAAATCTTCAGTATCCCCTGTTAAATTAGAATCATCTTGTTTGTAGAAGCAAATCATGTGGCAGCATTGATTTCTTTACCCAGTTACAGTCTGCTCTGTCTTTGCATTCTCTTTTCCTTCCTGACATGACTTATAACCAGATATTCTGTATAAAGTTAGATTTATGGAGCAAATATTCTCCCCAGAGAAGGTTTTCTTTGAATGAAACTGACCAGCGAGGCGTTCATTTCTCACAGCCAATCCCAAATGTTACAGAGCCCCTCTTGACAGGAGTGACCCACCGTATTTACATTTATTTTCAGAGAGTCGCTGAGGTTGGAAAAGACCTCTCAGATCCCCCAGCCCAAACCCAGCCTGCCCCACCATGCCCACTGCCCACGTCCCTCAGTGCCACATCTCCATGGCTCTGGAACAGCTCCAGGATGGTGACCCACTGCCCCTTGGGCAGCTGGTGTAGCCTTTATTGTGTAGGAAAGCACTGATGGGGAAGAGAAAGCACTACAGCTTGTATAGTAAGAGTAGAGCCAGCCTGGCTGAGACAGAGGAACATCTTTTCAGTTCAACAGACATGAGAGCCATGGCTTATTTGAGCAGTGAATGGAAAATGTAGATAGAAGGTTACATCCCCTCATGACACTGATGTCTGAAATAATCAATAGTGAGCTCGTGGGTTAAAACAAACATGCACAACATGCAAATGCTGACAACAGTGTGATAACCCATGCAGAAACCATATGAAAACACATCGTAAAACCTGCAGAATATTGGATGCTGTCAAGGTGGCTTCCTATGTGCTATGCAAATTAACGTGAAAATCTCGACTTTCTAATCAATTAGAAGGGATAATTTGGCAGCAGTATTAATAACCTCAGAAACAAATGTAGCGTGAAAGTCTGCAGCACTATAGGGAGGGTTGTGTGACCTCAGCTCAGCTCTGCAGACTTTGCCTTGTCTATGAAAACTCAAAAAGTGATACACATGCATCAGCCATTTCACTGCCTAGAAGAAGCAGATGAGGATTTTTCCTCATTCTCCTGTGTAAGGAAAGACATGATGGGCTCATTCCTGTTTATTTCTGTCAAACTGTTACTCAAGGATAGTATTTTGCACTGTATGAGGCTAAAGAATTATTTTTACTTTTCTCTGCTGTGCCAGATAGAGTGCAAATGGTGTAGGCTGAGGCAACAACACTGTCTGCATTAACTAGCAGTAGGGGAGTCCTTTCTTCCTTCAGAGGGCTGCAGCTGCAGGAATAAGATGTGTGAGTGTGTAAGCTAAGCAGCAAGTAAATAAATTCCAGATGATGATGTAGAGGTGGTTAATACAAACCTTGCAGTCCTGCAAGCACTGTAGAACTGGAAAAGACCTTTGAGGTCAATTCATTTCCCTTCTGTCATAGGCAGGCCTCTGAAAGACTCTGGGTGATGAAGTGATCCAGCTCCACTGCAAAATTCATTTTTGCTACCATTCCTCTTACCGTAATTGTGCAAGAAGAGGAATCTTACTGCAGCTCCTTGGAAACTTAGAAATCTTCCAATTCCCAGCCTCAATATGCTCTTACCCAGTTTATTCACATCAGCTGTTCTGCCAAAATTCTGCTTCTGCTTTAATAGCACTTCCTTCTGTGTGCTTATCCACAATGTATTTATAGGGAGCCCTCTCTCATGGCATGAGATGAAACAAGCCATCCTCTTTAAGTCTCCTTCCATATAACAGATTTGCCATATTCTGGATCACCCTTGCAGCCCTTTCCTTCACCTTCTCCAGTCTGAGCACAGGAACCAGAACCAGAACCAGCAGCTACAGGCTGTCTTACCAGAGGTTTTACGATGCCATTAACATTCCCTTCTTTCTCACTGCTATGCTGTGTGCTCATACTGTCTGCACCTAGAATTGTTCAGGCATATAGATGGCATTTTGCAATTAACCGTTGGGTGCTGGCATGCCATCTCATCTCGTACCACTTGTGCTCGTTGAGAGTGTGGTCAGCATCTCACAGGCAAAGTCCTTCAGTGCTTCTCATCTGGTGCTTTCTCATCCTTGATAGCCCCCGCGGAGTATTTCAGCACAAAGATGTTCCAGCAGCCTCTACAAATGCAAAGTGAATCATTCACAGAAAGCACAACTCATCCATCTCCTTTAGTGTCACCAATTAATAGCGGCTCGGGATGCCTTGAGATCTATAGCTGCTTAAAGGAAGAAAAACAGCCAACCCCTTCCTACAGTGCTGTGCTGACATTGTGTTTTGTGTGCTCTGCCTATGCAAGGGAACTTTATTAAATAAACAAATGAGGGGGAGTGTGCAATGGCCTTTGGTGTGAGACTTCAAAGAAAGCAAGAAGACCGCTTATGTTTATCCAAGATGGGAAGGGAACTAAAAACTAAAACCAACTGGTAGGTAAATGATTTCTTACTATTGAAAAACATTTGTCATTCTGGAAGCCAATGTCTCTTGCTTCTGATTTGGATTATGTGACTCCATGCTGCAGAAATTCGGGGACCATCCTTAGAAGGGGCAGTGTTGCTTTGATGAGCAGCTCAGGCTGGATCTGTGTGCTCCTTCCTCAGGTTGGCAGTTCTTGAAGCAAAATCGTTGCACCCTTTGGTGGAGCTGCTGCCTTGAGCTCTCCAGCAGCCAAGCACCCCTGGTCAAATCCTGACAGACACCAGAATGCACTCCCAAACAGCTGCTGACACTGATAGGGGTTTTCTCTTCTTGTCCCCATCCCTCCCACCCATCTTGCTTCCTTGGCTGAGGCATAGGGGCTGCTGATGGCATTTCCCATTGAGCATGCTGGGTCTTGAAGGGGATTAATTCACTTCCAGTTAATCTGCCAGGGGAGAAGTCTGTGCCTAAGCGTAATGGAGGCTAATTAAACAGAAAACCATCCATTTGTGCTATCACATTAGGGATTTATCATAAAAACCTTATGTTCTCTTACAAACCTAAACAAGTGTGCTCACCATGTGAAAAACAGCAATAAAACTGTCCACAGGGTTGTAAAGTTCTAAGCCGTCGTTTATACAGCCTGTCTGCATCCTGTGGGTAAGGAATGGCCTTTCTGCTGTCCTCAAAGCACCCTGCATAACGAGGGCATCCCTCCTTCAAAATGGGAAAGAGGGCCAAGCCCAGAGCTGACAGTCTTTTGGAGCAGATGCTTCTCTGTCTGGCCCTGATGGGAACCAGGGATCAGAAGCAGAGGACACTTGTTGTTTCAGATCTGCACTGAAGATGTTTGGAGGTTTACAAAGCATAAATATAATGGAGGAGATATGGACATTGGGTCCCCCAGTGCCTGGTCTCTTCCTTAGTCCCAGCTGGGTGTGTTCAGGAAAACTAAATTCCGTATGGGTGATGGGAGACGTTGGACGATGGATGCTGTTTTGCAGCAAGAGAAACTTACGACCTGTGTCCTCCAAGGGAAAGTTTACCCAAGGGAAAATTAGTGTGGTCTATCTAAATGGCTGCTCTCCTTCATTCCTGTCCAGAAAGAGATTTTCCCTGGTTCAAACTCGACTAACTTCAGAGTTTCTAACAAAACCAGAGCTTGTGCAGAAGTCATATGAGGGCAGGTCTGCAGACCTTCTGCTGCGCGGGAGGCAATCTGTGCTTTCCAGCCATGGGACAACCCCCCATGGTAATGCAGCTGGTGTCTCCCTGCAGGCATCCGAGGTGGAGCGGCAGCTCTCCCTGCAGGTCCACACTCTCCGGGAGGACTTTCGGGAGAAGAACTCCTCCAGCAGTCAACACATCGTGCGGCTCGAGAGCCTCCAGGCTGAGGTGAGTCACCTGTGCTTGGCCTTGCTCCTTCAGACAGCGTTCAGGGCTGCTGTAATCCATAGGGCAAACCCCTCTGTGCTGGGTGAACAAAACCAGCTGCTTGGGGTGAGCGAGGAGAAGGTTGGTAGCTGTGCTGGCCAGGTTGGCAAAGGACAACGTCAAGCACTGCCTCAGCCACAAGCAAAATGAATGGATGGGAAGGATCTTCCAGGACCTTCACCATGGAGCTGAATCACATCAGGCTTCTGTCTGTACAGCTTAACCTCTAAGGCCATGGTGGGAAGATCTGTAAGGTTTGGGTCCTTTTTGCTGTTTCCCATGCTTGCAAAGAAAGCAGCAATCTTCCCCTACCTCTGAGCCAGTCATGCATGGAAGTAGAATGATACATTAGCAGGATGTATAGCATTTTTTACTTCCCTTCCCTGATGAGAATCACTGGAACTAGTGGGGTAGAAGGTGTCCAACCCTACCACCCTGCCACTTTGCTTCTTTTTAAGCTATCTGGAAGAGCTTTTCCTAAAATCTCTCAATTTCTTCTTTCCTGCTCCCACCTGCTCCCTGCTGGTCCCTCGCCTTCTCTTCCCCTCCCCTTGGTGTGGAGCAGCAGGTCCTTGAAGTAAGTATGGAGGCTTGGAGGGCGCTTGCCTACACGTGCACCCAATCACCATGCATGCATGTCGTTATGTATGCCTCACCTCGACTTCTTCCCATCTCTTGCTTTCCAGATCTGTCTTCCCTATTTGCATGGCTCGGGGCCCACGATGGAGTCAGAATCACAGGGGTTGGAAGGGCCCCTTGGGGATTATTTGGTACAGAGCGTTGGCTTTCTCTTACATGGTCATTCACAGCGTGTTCATCACTGGTTTGGATATCAAATGCTCTCAGTACAATCTCTGTATTATACCTCTTATTTTCCTTGTACCCCTTTTCTCCAACCCACACAAATCATGACAGTGGTGGGAAGAGACAGCTCAGAAACAATTACTCACCTACAGGCAGCTTTCTAATACCTACAGCAGCCTTTACCCTGCAGAAACAGCAAGATGTGCTTTGCTAATAGTCCTTCGTGCAGCCAAACATTTCCAGCAACATGGAAAACAACAAAAGACAGGAGCCCATAGAGGCCAAGAGAACAGTAGGATATGCCGAATTTGTCTGTCATCCATGTTGAAAGGAGTTGAAAAGAGACCATAGGGCATATTTAGGGTTGTAGTGGAGTGGAGAACAGCATACACAGTTTTCAAAGGTCCCATGTGCACAAATCTGGAAAAAAGGTTCCTTTTTCTTGGTTAAACAAAAAGTGACCTTGGCTGGTGCTGATTCATCCTGTGCACCGTTCCCAGCTAAGTGAATCACAGAGGTTTTGCTTGGCACGTTGTCCCTCCTCACCTAAAATCACCGCCCTTGACAATTAAAAGAAATGAACCAATTTTAAAGGCATCCCATCTCTGGGAAATTAAAAATAAGCATGGCACAGAAAGGAGCCTTCATGAATAAAAAGAAAGAAAAATCCCCAGTGAGAACCTGGTGAATGTACAACAATTTAGAAAAGCATACAGGCAGTGCATTACACAGCCCCGCAGGGAGCAGGAGCTCAGGGGCTCTCCTCCCTGTGCTCTCCAGCATCCATGCAGCAGAAAATCCCACCATCTGCTCAGGCAGGGATGGACCTGGAGCAGTAGCTAGTTTCATTCTTGCAAGTTGTAGGGTAGAAGGGGTAGCAGTTGTTCTCTTGCACACAGGTGCTGAATACATACACGTATATTTCGGGGGGTTTTTTCTGCTTCTTTTCTCTCATGGGGATGTGGTTTCCCCCATCTGCGCTTCTTGCAAAGTATGGGGTTCAAGCCAGCTCTCAACCCTCTGCAGATCAAAATGCTGACGGACAGAAAGCGAGAGCTGGAGCATCGCCTTAGTGCCATGATGGAGGAGAACGACCTGCTTCAGGGAACGGTGGAGGAGCTGCAGGACCGAGTCCTCATCTTGGAGAGACAAAGCCATGACAAGGACCTGCAGGTGAGAAGGCAGCAATGGGAGAGGGAAGAGGACAGGAGGTGGGAAATGGGCCAAGGATGTGGTTTGGGGTAAAATCAACCAGAAAGATAACAAGGAACTGGGAGAATGGAAGAACTGAGCATCTTTAAGTTGCACCGGGGAGGTTCAGGTTAAATATTAGGAAAAAAAAGAGTGGTGATGCAGTGGCACAGGCTGCTGAGGGAGTGATGGGGTCACCATGCCTGGAAGTGTTCCAGAACTGTGGGATGTGGTTATTGGGCATGGTGGGGTGGGCCGGGGTTGGACTCGGAGATCTTAGAGATGTTTTCCAACTGTAATGATTCCATGATTCTCTGAGGGAATAAAATGCAAGGATCTGTTCTCCGTGGAGATGGAAAAAAAGATGGAGCATCTTGATACAAAGACCAATTTGAGGAGAGCCGAGCAAAGGAACAGGAGGGAAGGCTGGGAGAAGAAGGGAAATGTAAAAGGAAGCAGAAAACACTGACTGTAATGTTTTAATAGCAGCATTGGCTCCAGAAGGGGGTCATTTACTCTAGCCTGGAGGATGGTGAAGCTCTCATAGCTTGGGTGGTTTCCCAGCAAGCTCCATCTCACCAAACATCGCTCCCTGGAGAAAAGCTGGCATGGCTGTAGCTTTGGGCATCTTCATAGAGAGCACAATTGTACCTCACTTTACTTTTACTTCACATCTGACAACCTCTTGCACCCCCAGCTCTTCAGAACAGTCAGAATCTTTTTTTCCCCTTTCTTTAGAGGCAAAAAAAGCTACCAATGTGTCAGACAGTAGCACCCTCCCCAGCACGTTCAGCTCTGCTGCTCACACAACACCTGGCTGTGTCCCAGCCCCGTGCACAGCTCCTGCCCAGGCAGAGCACAGCTCAGTGCCTATGAAATCACACAGTTGGGTGACCATGGATAAGCCCCAAAACAAATCAGTGCCAGTGCTGTGTCTTGTGTGTTTCAAACACTCCATTAACTCAGGTTGCAAAGCAGTGAATTAGGGAGTTTGACATCAGAGTTTTGTGGCAGAATGTTTATAGTTATAAGGAGACGTCTTTCAAGGTGTGTTTATATTGCTTTTCTTTTTTTGGTTCAGTTTCTGTTGTGTTAGCTTTAGTAAGCTTTTTTCAGCCAAGTCTCAGCTTCTTCACAGCATTCCTCATTTTAGCACAGATTAACCTGCTGATTTCATCTTCCAGTGTCTAATAACATTTGGAGATTACTTAGCTCCAATAAACAGTAACATCAGCCAAGAGTGTTTTCCTTCTGGTTGGAAACCCTCTTTCATGCCAGCTCTTCCTCCCTTTCAGGTCCTTCATGAATCAGGAGATTCATCCAGTCCATATCACCTCCACTAACACTGTTTCCTCTGCTTGTTTAATTTTCTTTGGAAGCTGCACCAAAGCCAGATGGAGCTCCAGGAGGTGCGGCTGTCCTACCGGCAGCTGCAGGGGAAGGTAGAAGAGCTCAGCGAGGAGAGAAGTCTCCAAAATTTCAACACAACCAGCACGTCCCTGCTGTCTGAGATAGAGCAGAGCATGGAGGCAGAGGAGCTGGAACAAGAACGAGAACAGGTATTTGCCCTCCTGCCCCTGACAATGCCCACGGACCTCACTAGCCCCAGAAAGAAATGTGAAACGTTGGATCTGGGCTTGAAGCTGAGCCCACAGCCAGAAATTTATAGAATCACAGAATTATACAATGGCCTGGGTTGGAAAGGACCACAATGATCATCTAGTTTCAACCCCCCTGCTCCATGCAGGGTCACTAACCAGCAGACCAGGCTGCCCAGCCTGGCCTTGAATGCCTCCAGGAATGGGGCACCCACAGCCTCTTTGGGCAACCTGTTCCAGTGTGTCACCACCCCACCTCTGTTAGGGTTGTGGTCCCAACTCTAGGAGTAAATTTCAAAGCCAATATAGCAAACCAGGTGAATATTTGTGAGCTTTAGCAATCACACGCCTCGTTGCAGTGGAGGTGGAGGACCTCTGCAGCCTTGACACCCAAAGCTTACCTGGGGCTCTCTCGTTCCAGCTGAGGCTGCAGCTCTGGGAGGCATATTGCCAAGTGCGGTATCTCTGCTCCCATCTCAGAGGAAATGACAGCGCAGACTCCGCCGTTTCCACGGACTCCTCCATGGATGAGTCTTCAGAAACCTCATCAGCCAAAGATGTCCCGGCCGGCAGCCTACGGGCAGCTCTCAGCGAGCTGAAAAGACTGATACAAAACGTGCTGGATGGGGCAGACTCCACGGTGAGTTGGCAGCACTGTTATTGCCTGTGTCTCCTTGCCCAAGATGTCACAGGCTCTCACTTGACCCTGAAGTCCCTTGTCTCTGAGAAAGCCTGTGGGGAAGAGCTGTCTTGGCGCACTGCCTGCTCTCTGTCAAAACATCATAGAGTCATGAATGCCCTGGGTTCAAAAGGCCCGCAGTGCTCATCAGTTCCAACCCCCTGCTGTGTGCAGGTCGCCAACCAGCAGCCCAGGCTGCCCAGAGCCACATCCAGCCTGGCCTTGAATGCCTGTAGGGATGGGGCATCCACAGCCTCCTTGGGCAGCCTGTTCCAGTGCCTCACCACCCTCTGAGTGAAAAACTTCCTCCTATAACCTATTATCTACCTAAAACTATCCAACCTAAACCTCCCCTGTCTCAGTTTAAGACCATTCCCCTTTGTCCTATCACTATCCTCCCTCACATCAGCCAAGAGCCAAACCAGCACATGGGATTTCAGCCCCATGGAGTTCAAGGTTACATGTTTGAGCAACTCTTGTCAATTTGGGAGTCATTCTGGGAAATGAATGAAAGGAAATTTAAGAGTTGCAGCAGGTTTGAGTTCCAACAGAAATACTGCAGATGGTTGCGTGCATCCCAGTTCAGTTATTTCTGTTACAATTTGTCTTTGTAGCAATAGCGTAGTGAAACCTTGTAACCCCATACAGCTAGGTTTTGGCTCTACAGCTCGGGCTGCATACAGATGTTTTGGTGAGACCAAACCAGGCATGAATCCATCACCATGTGAGGCTTTTGCTGGTATGCAGTGGTGTTAAGGCGTACACCTTCGGCACTGTGAGGGGATGGCATCCATAGGAGCATAGAATTACAAGAAAACACCTGGATTTTTGCAAAGTATCAAAAATGAGGACTATTTTCATCACCTGCAAGCATTGCTAGCATGACTTATTTGAGAGGCCATGCTGATGCAGGCAGTGCAGACCTTGCAAATGCAGAGTCACGTGCAAGGTGTCACCCTCCTCATTTCAGTAACTGTAGCAGCTGGTAGGAAGCTGAACATGGAGGTGAAGTGGTATTTGCCAAAGAAAAAACAGAGTCCTGGAACAGGTTTGCAAACACAGAATGCAGTCCCACATGGGGTCATTAGGTCTCAGTGAATGTGGTTTATGCTGAGCTAAGAGCACTGCCCTTCAAATTCGTGCAACTGCCCTTTGAAAAAGAAAAAGCAAACAATAAAAACCTGATCAAGAGATTTCTCTCCTGCTGCCAGAGCTCTCGGCGGAGCGACGATGACTCCTTAGAGGAACAGATCAGGAGAACAAGTGAGGACTCGAGAGCCCTGAGGGAGTTAATGGAGGGAGAACGGGGGAAACTGAGGCAAAGTCTGGAGGAGCTGCAGAGGCTGCACAGCCAGGTTAGTAATGCCCACACTTAGCAGATGGCCTTTTAACACAGCGTTCATCCCCAAGGCACACATTCTGTAGAAGAGATCACCATGGTGAGTAGCCCAGAAGGATCTGGGTGAGCACCAGCTGCAGTTGGATAAGGAAATCTGTATTAAACCCAGTGCAGAGGCTTCATGCACGTTTGGATCAGAGCTTCTGCACTTTGCAGGTGTCCAGGTGCCCTTCCCAGACATCATCCCAAGTAACCAAATGTCCTTTTGAACTTTTTACCCAATCTGCTTTAGCAGCCAGCCTGTCTCACTTAAACTTTTCTCAGCAGAAGATCCCAGAATATAGGGTTGCTTGATATGGGGTGCTGGAAGCCATAGGCATCCATTCTGACCCATCTTGCACTAAGTCCTGTTTTTCTATTTTATAATTTGCTTTTACCTGAGTATAGATGCATCTGCTGAACAGACAAACCAGCACTGCTGTGTTGCACGTGGCACAAGGCTCACACCCCTCCAGCACTTCCCACTGCAGCATCGTGACACGTGCTAACTGCACACCCAGGGAGCCCTAATCATGGCCAAGCTGGCACCATGCCATACCCCTGAACCAACAAGGTTAATGCTAAATCAAACACAACAGCAGCAAACGATCCAATCCCAAACCCAGAGCGTTGAATCAGACCGCATCTATCCACACTGAAGCTGGCAAAGGCATCATTTTAAGGTCATGTTCCAAAGGCAGCAAGCAGAGACACCCAAAGACAGCCTTGGCAAAGCCTGTCTTCTATGGGACAAGGCTCCACATGCCACAGGAGATGTGGAGGCTGTGGTAGAAGCAGCCTTTGGCACAGCTGCTCATGCAATACAATTGCATTGGAGCAGGGAGTGGGGTTACCACCCTTGGCTGCTTTTGCCCTTTCACCGCATCCTTTTGGAAAAAGGAAAACACAACCCTGTCCAAAAAGTCACCACAACTGATGGACACACAGGGCTGTGGGAGCTGTCAGCCCTCCATGTGAAGATTCCTTTGAGGATTCAAGGGAGGTGGGTCAGGTGCTGGAAGGGTTTCCAGGTGGTAGAGGAGCATAACAGAGCGAGCGTGTGCCACAGACAAAGAAACGTGTATGAAATACTGTGAATCCGTGCATGATTTCACAGCCTATTACCTCGCTCCACACAGGACCAAACCAATAGATCATTTCCCAGACTATTTAAGACTCGGCACGCATTTTGAAGTCTAATTAAAAATGTAAGACGTGCCAGTAACACCTTCTGTGGTGCGAAAGGGACCTTTCACATCCTTTGTCTTCAGTTTCGCACCGCTTCAGAAGACGCAATGATGTAACTGTTCCCTCTCCTGAAAAAAAAAACAACAGGAAAAACAATCTCTCTTGCTGCTAGATTTGCAGCTTCTACAGGCAGGGCACCTCAGTCTCCAGGTTGCCCCCTGGCTTGTTTTCCACCCTCCCTTGCCCTGTGCTCATCCTGGCTGTTCCACTCTCCCCTGTGAGCTCAGGTCACACTGCTGAGCGTGGAGATGACGACGCTGAAGGAGGAGCGGGACCGGCTGAGGGGAGCTGCAGAAGACAAGGAGACGAGCGAACGGCTCCTGCAGGCCATCCGGGATCGGGACGAGGCCATCGCCAAGTGAGTGGGGACACAGCCTGAGCCAGGCTGCGTTAGGGGTACAGGAGCACCTGCCTCCAGGGTGGCCGGTCTCAGCCCTGCTGGTGATGGGAAGCGCTGGAGGAGCTTTAATAGTTCCTAGGAGCTACCCTATGGCAGGACTAGGGGGCTTTGGGGGATGCTGTGAGCCCTGATTTTGCCATCCGTGGTGCTGGTGTGTGGCACACGACGAACTTAGGGAAGCAAATGGAATCCCTAACTCTGTCCTGTCTTTTTCTTCTTTTGCACTTCCACATACACAGAATGGCCCAGGTTGGAAGGGACTTCAAGGATCATGAATCTCCAACCCCCCTGCCACATGCAGGGCCACCAACCTCCCCACTTAATACCATGCCAGGCTGCCCAGGGCCCCACCCAGGCCTTGAACACCTCCATCCACAACCTCTCTGGGCAGCTGTTCCAGAACCTCACCACTCTCATAGTAAAGAACTTCCCCCTGACATCCAACCTAAATCTTTCCTCCCTCAACTTAAAACTGTTTCCCCTTGTCCTGCTGTTATCTATCCTTTCAAAGAGTGAAATGAAAGTTGACTCCCCTCCTGTTTATAAGCTTCCTTAACACACAAGACTTGCTTCCCTGCCCATCTCTATTGCAGCCTTGCCTGGACCTCATCCCTAAAGCATTCCTCTGCTCACTCTCTATCCTTTCCTGTTCCTGGGTCTTTTTCCAATTCTCTTTTCCTCTGGTCGGGATTCTCCCACTGTTTTGAATCTTTATTTTTCCTCATCTTCCTCCTCCCAGCCCTCTGCCATTTTGCTGCCCTGTACCCCATACCTCCTCCTTTGGCTCTGCACCCTGCAACCCTGCAGAACAGTGCTGCCCTGAGTTCTTTTCCCCAAGAAGAATGGGCAGAATAATTCACCCCCCATCCTCTAGGTAGAAAGGATAGGCCTGATAATCTCCTCCAAAATGAGCTGGCCAGAACACCACCAGTGTATCTCCTTACAGACACACCTAATACTCAGGTGCTTGCAAGAATACGAAGTGAAAGCATAGCAGCTCTGAGGATGCAGGGAGCTAAATCTCCATGCTGAGACCTTTTGTCTTTTTTTTAAGTGAACTTCTCACCCATGCTGCTCTTGCCCAGGTATCCAGCTTCCAAATTCCCACTGCTGTCCTCTGTTACACCTCCATCTGTTGGCATAAAGCAGGAGTGTCCCAGCTGCACAGAGACGTTGTTCTGACATTTCCTGTGCTTGTGGGCTGCTGGTTCTTGCTGTGGCTATGGCAACGTGCAATAAATCCCACTGTAATATCCAAGCAACAGTGGGGAGCTTCAGAGGAAAAGGCTATTTCAGGTTCTCAGACCCACAGCCAGGAGCAGAAGGGTACAGCTTCTCCACAGTGGTTAATGACCCTATAAAGCCCAGAGGAAGGGGACGTGACAAGTGTGCATGGATGAGTGGTGGGTGATTAACGAGCAGTAGCTGCAAGTGAAAGGAGACAGCACAGAGATGCTAGGAATGAAAGTGTCATCTTGCAGACAGAGGGGATGCTGCATAGCAGCAAGCTGCCCAGCAGGCATGCAGTGCTCAGCCCACCTGCACCTCAAGGGTTAAGTCACGGCTGTTGAAGTGTTCCCCTCCCCACCAAAAAAAAAGCCCAACTCAATGCTGCACAAAAATAAAACCACCGCCTGAAGCAGACATCTGGCGTGGAACATTTTTAGCTTGAAGCTGAAGTTTGGCAAACATGGGAAGCAATAGGAAAAGAGGATTCTAGAATAGGAAGCGTTTGGCGATCGCTACCTGGAATATAAACACAGATTCCCAAATTGCTCTTCTGCAGGGGAGCGTGAGGGAGCTGCTAGGAAGTGATGAATGAGAGACAGTTAATAAGATGCAATTATTCCTCCCCAAAATATTTTCAAAGACAAATCGTTCCCAGCAAGTCACATTACAGTTTCCCCATCACACAGCAATTAATTGATAACTTCAGGTTTGTGGCCAGGCAGCCTGCACCTACCTGTATGCTTCCCAGCACAGCAAGCATTTCCCAGCTCAGACAGCTTAGGGAATTGCTCCTTCCCAGGAGATAACTCCTTCCTGCTTCCCTGTAGCAGCTGGAGCATCCCACCACCAGGGTTTAGCCATGGGCTCACCTGCCCTCAGAATGCCTGGGATGACATCAGAGTGGCATTCCTGAGTGGCACAGCTCCATGGAATCCGAGAGCTTTCTTTAAAGCTTATTATTTAATCCAAATAATTAATTTGATTTTTTAAGGAATGATAAACTGTTAAAATATATGCTATGATAAATTCCTTCCTTCAGTTCTTTGCTCAGCCCAGGCCCCATCTCTAGAAAATGAAAGCAGGGTTGTACTTTTTGCAGGGTTATTTTTTCATATTGCTGGGCAGAAAAGGGGTCTTTGTTTTTTTGAGCATTCCATTTCATTTCCCATACATTAGTAAACAGAAGAAATGCAAAAATAATGTGTATAGAGATTCTAACTCATTTTAGTCCTCCATTTTTAATGGCAGATCCTGCACATCGTTCAGATGTACAATATTATTTTGTAGAGCAGCACATCTGAATGTTTTCTCCTATTTTTCATGATGTTACCTAAAATCTGCTTATTTTATAAGGTAAGAATTTCTGCAGTTCTGGCCCACTCTTCTGGGCCAGGTAAATAGACCAGAAAACAATGGAGAAATGCTGAGGATTTAGGGACTTGCCAATTAAATAGAATCATATTCCATAGAATGATTTGAGTTGGAAGGGACCTTTAAAGGGCAACTGGTCCAACTCCCTGCAGTGCACAGGGACACCCACAGCTCCATCACTGCTCACAGCCCCATTCCCTGACCATGGGTGTCTGCAGGAATGGGGCACCAGCACCTCTCTGAGCAACCTGTGCAGTGCCTCACTGCCCTCAGTGTAAGGAACTTCTTCCCTATATCCAGTCTAAATCTTTCCTTTCCGTTTGAAACCATTTCCCCTTGTCCTATCACACAGACCCTGCTAAAGATTCCATCCCCTTTTTTGATTAAAATAAATAAATCATTGACTTCCGAGGGGTATGTTGAACATTTCCTTAAAATAATAATAATAATAATGAAGTGAAAAGTCCCATTTCTTGCTCTTCCCCCAGGAAGAACGCTGTGGAGGTGGAGCTGGCCAAGTGCAAGATCGACATGATGTCCCTCAACAGCCAGTTGCTGGATGCCATCCAGCAGAAGGTGAACCTCTCGCAGCAGCTGGAGGCCTGGCAGGTGAGCAGTTCCCCACTGCCACAGGGCAGGGTCTGAGGGCATACAGAGCACACAGCAGAGGAACCCACCTGGGTGTCCGTGTGGGGGATGCCCTCAGCATCGAGATATGCAGATGCAGCACATCTGTTCCTGTAGCCAAGCAGGAGGTGGGAGGTGGGGATGTTGTGGTCACTGGTCCACTGCGTAGCACTGTTGTCAATGCAGAAGATGTGGCACGATGGAAAAGCTAAAATCAGAGCTCTCAACCAAGGTAAAGTAAACAAATAAATGAATAATCGGATCCCAAACCCACAGCAGGTGAGGGCAGATGCCCCAGAGATGTCCTTCTTAGGGTCAGTGGGACGGACCCGTGCCAAGCAGAGAGCTTTGATGGCAGACAAAAGATGGCAGACTCAGAGCCCTCTGAGAAACCGGCGCTGAGGGAGCATGGCTAATAGAAAATGAGCAGATACAAGAGAAAAGGTCCGGGTCAGTACAGGAAATTGGTGCAGACCCTGCAAGACCCCGACTCTACTACCCCCCAACCTGACCGGTAGAAACCTCTCCCATACAACCTCACTCCTGTTTCAACTCCACCGTGTTTTCGTTTCTTTTTTCTTCTTCTCTTTCTCCTGCTTACAGTTTGCTTCCTCAGGGCTTTTTACTATCTGGCTCCTTTGGTTTCTGATCTAGTGGCCTTTCTCAGTTCCTGTACCAACAGCTTTAGTCGTACACCCCTCCTGCCTTTGAGGTGAGATCCCTGCACCCACTGAACACCCACCATCACCTCGCCTGCTCCATTCACTGCTGTCTCCACCTGCATCCACTTCTGTCCTCACCACCATCTGGCAAGAAACCAGTGGGGGTTCCTCATCACTCCTCAGGGCCCCGCATCCCCCAGCACCAGGGGCAGAACCCGCAGCGAGGCTTTGCCCCCAGGTCATCATGGGGAAAGCCAAGCTGAGGTCCGCATGTCTTTAATGCTGTGCGCTCAGCTTGTCTAGCATCAGGAAAATTCCTGAGGGGCAGGCTGGGATTTTACTTCTCAGCTTCGTTATCTAGCAAGTGATATGCAGCACTCTGCAAGTTTGAATGAGTGGTGTAAATTCAGCTGCTTACTAGTACCTCCTAACCTGTATATGTGTATGTATATCATATACACACGCTCCAGCTTTCCTGGAGCACTGCGTTCAGATGTGGAGTCCGCAGTACAGGAAAGATATGGACCTGTTGTAGGTCACAAAAAGGCTCCAAGGCTCCAACATCTCCCTGTTAGGACAGGCTGAGAGCTGGGGCTGTGCAGCCTGGAGAGGAGAAGGCTCTGGGGAGAGCTGAGAGCAGCCTTTGGTATCTAAAGGGGTCTATAAGGAAAAAGGGGACAGACTGTTTAGCAGGATCTGTTCTGATGGGACAAGAGGAAATGGTTTCAAACAAAAAGAAGATGGCAGATTCAGATTGGATATAAGGAAGAAGCTGTTTACAATGGGGTGGCAAGGCACTGCACAGGGCCCCAGAGAGGTGGTGGTGCCCCATCCCTGCAGCACCCACAGTCAGGGGATGGGGCTGTGAGCCCTCATGGAGCTGTGGGTGTCCCTGGGCACTGCAGGGAGTTGGACTAAATGGCCTTTAAAGGTTCCCTTTCAACTCAAACAATTCTATGATGATTCTATATAAAATCATACCCATCTCTCATTATGTGATTAACCAAAGGTGAATCTGCCATGCTCCATCTCATGTGATAGTAGAGTTGCTTTCCGAATCCAACTGTTATAAATTTCTGCATGGCAGTTTCACCTCTGGAAACCATTAACGTTGATGTTTACCTTAACCTCTTCAACTCTCCCTCTGCCTCTTCCCTTTCCAGTCCAAAGCTTCCTCTGTCTACTTAGCTCTGCACCCTTGTGCTTTCTTGAGACACCCCAAATACTAAATTCATGGCCATCAATCCTTTTCCCTCCTGGAAGTGGCATTTTCCCATGTTTTTTTCTTTCCTCTGAGCCCCACTTGTGGGTCCCAGGGTTGGCAGAGAGGACACTGCTTTCCCCAAACTGCCAAATAGCCCATCTGCGAGCAGCACCAAGTCTGATGTCTAAATCCAGGTGGGAAACTGAGATTGGAACAGTAAAGGAAGGAAGGGAAGTGATAAAGAGAGGCATATACCAGTTCAACACCAGTCGTGTTGCAGCTTCCCAGATGGAGAAGCATCTATCTGCTCAAAAAAAAGAAACCCAAAAAACAAGCAGCAAAAAATAAGTTTCCTTGTGTCACAGTGATTTCAGCTCCTTGGTGATCCTACAACAAGGATGCCAAGTAGCCCTTGGCTATGGGTGCTAGCACACAATGCCCTGAGCAGCCCCATCTTCCATGCTGTCCCAAGGAGACACAGGGCTGGGAGGTCACCTGAGCCCACTAGGGCCACAGGCAATGGCCTCTGGTGGCCATCCAGGTCACCCAGACTCCACCTGAGGGTTTCTCCCAGCAGAGGCTGTGTACCATCACTGCTAGGTCCATAACATCAGCAACTGCTGAGACTCTTCCAACCTTCCCAACTGGTAGGGTCCACGGGTACCCCAAAAAACACAGTTGAGCCCTGCCTTGCGTGCAGAGCCCCCAGAATGGCACTTCTCATCCTGCAGTCTGCCCAGATAACTTTGTTCTCACCAGCCAGCACTGTCTGTCCTAATCAGGGACCAAAACATTGGAGAATAAGTGACTTCTCCCGTGGGACTAATCTGCATACATGGATTTTCACTAATCTCCAGCTTAAATACACAATTATAGCAGAAATAATGTATCTGAAAGTTTAAGATTTTGTCAAATTGCAGTCAGGTTTTCAAGGAGCACATCAGTACGTGTCATTAGCAGCAGTACAGCTGACTGATTGTTTTGTGTGGAGCAACTTCACTCTGCTGCAAACATGGATTAAACCACAGCATCTCCAGTGCTTCAAAAAACAAACAAAAAACTGGAGTGCAGTTGTTGGTGCCAAGCTGTCAGTCAGAGAGCTCCCATCACTCTGCCAGCACCACTGGAAAGAAGCAGGGGCTAAGGGATGAGCACCGAAGTGACAAGAACCACATGGGGTTTTTGTGGGCCTGTGCCTGACCCCGGCCCCTCTGCTCTGGGGAGCACCTTCCCCCAGGAGGGCCCTTCAGTGGGGCTGCACAGACAGCTCTGCCATTCCCTGGTTTGCAAGTCTGCTCAAGCAATTCATCCCCTAAGCAATGCGAGTTGCCTTCTCACTCACTAGAAAACCTCACAGTGGGAACTGGGGCTGAGCCTGCTGCTGGGCAGGGAGCTGGGGCTGTCCCCACGCTTGTCATCATCCCTTCTCCATCTCATTGCGGCACGTTTCACACCCACATCCCCACACAAGCTCCCCACAAGCATCAGCTGCCTCTAACGCCCATCTCCTCTCCCTCTGCTGCAGGATGACATGCACAGGGTCATTGACCAGCAGCTGATGGACAAACACCCGAAGGAATGGAGCCAGCTTGCTTATTCCTTCTCCAGTGGCTACGTCGCAAAGCAGAGTGCCAGACCCTCCCCTGTGCTCCGGCCAGAGCCGCAGGGGGATGAGCCCAGTGGGGCAGAAGGGCACCGTCTCTTTTCCTTTTTCAAGAAAAATTAACTTGAAAAAGAGAAACCTCTCCAACCATTCTTGCTTCAAGATGGGGAGGGGGCAGCTGCCCAGCTTGCTGATGGACCCAACGCTGATCCACCGGGAATAAGAAGGGGCAAAGGAGTTAACCTTGAGACTCTGCACTATTAACGCCGCACCTGGTCTGAACCAAATGTTTACATAAATTGGAAATTTGCAAATTGACATTGTGCTACAGATGGAAAGCAACTTTTCTTATTCTTCAAGTGAAGCGATGAACTTCAGGGTATATTTTAGGCGCTTTGACACGGTTTAGTTTCTGCTGTGAAGAATAATCTGATTGATTGTCTTAAAAGCATTCTGATGCTGGAGAAGGAAATAAGCAGCCCCAAGACAAAGCAGCGCAGGGGATTGGGAACTGCCATCACAGCGAGTGCAGGGGGAAGAGGAGAGCCCAATGCAAGAGAAGAGAGGAGCCCTCATACAGCCCTCCAGGCCTGGCAACTGATGTTCTTCATCCATCCCACTGGGAGCAGAGCTGCTTTGGCTGCAGCATTGCCATGTTTTGAGAAGATGAACCCTCACTGCACATCCTACCTGGGCATGCCTGTGGCTCTGTGGAGCTGCTCACCACCGCAGGGAACCCAGGCTCCTTGCAGGTCAGGGCAGTTGTAAGTTTGTGTCTTCTGCAGCCTGTTAGAAGAGTTGCAGAGTCTGTAGGTGCACAAAAATGTTAAGGACTTCTTCCCATCCCTATTGGCCACCTGCAACAGATTACAAACTGAATAACGTTGTGGATGTTCAGTCCTGGGGCCTCCAAAGGTCAAAAGTAGATGCGGAACTTCAGCACGTCGCACACCCTTCCCCTAAAGCCATGTATCTCTCATAAACCGAGTAAGAAACCTGTTATTGTAACAGGATAGCTTCCCACCCAAAAAAAACCCCACAACTCATTGAGATCCTGTCCATAATGAAATCAAAGGCTCACCAATGCTAGGCTGGCAGATGTGATCCTTAAATCCGTGTCACATCCGGATCACATCACATCCGCTGGCAGATGTGATCCATGCCGAAAACACACAGGCATCTACCTTTGCTAAAGCCCCAGGCAATCAGGGCACCTGCAGAGCTCTGGGGATCCTGCAGCTTGCCCTTTGTGCCCTGCAGTACCATTAGCTGTGGTCTGATGGAAATGATGTGTATTTGTTCTGCCCGTGGGTCATTTCCCACTCAGCCCCTCAGCAAACAGGCAGCCAGATCTCCTCTTAACCAAAGGTGATCAAAGCCTGCTTTGCTGCAACCAAGACTCGACTGACAAGAAGGAAAATTAGTATTTCTGGTGTATGCACACGGTGGTACTGGAAACCCTGCAATACATTTCCCTATGCACTGGATGGGCACCTTAGAGCTCTCCCCTTTGATAGAGTCTGCCTTCATGAGACAGCAAGGCAGCCAGGCCAAGCTCAGAGCTGTCCTGCCTCCATCATGTGATTTTCACATGTTCTCCCAGCTCACAATGCCCACAGACCCCAATTTGTTTCCCTGCTGCTTCGAGGAGGCTCCCTCCTACACTGTCCCATAGGAGATGGAACACATACAGCTCTTCCCAGCTCAGCACAGGTGCTAAAACACCTTCTTAGGGGGAGCTGCCAATCCCTGCTCCATATTGACAGTCACAGGTATGCTGCTAGAATTAGCCATCCAGCACCTCCTCCTTAGAAGCAGGTAAGGTTGGTGGGTTGTTGTTTAATGTATTTATTTATTGCATTGAGCATACATAATACCTCAGTAGAAATATCCTTTCTGCCTACAAAGATCTGAGCATCCCCACGTTTCCTTATTAGCATGGAGCTGCCACGCTGGTACAAAGTCAGTAAACATCAGGTCAGCTCTGCAAAGAGCAAAGCACTCTTTGGGGATAGAGAAGGATGAGTGGTAAAACTCATTTACCTGAAAGCAATGAAACCTGGATTCCAGGTCCTACCCAAGAAGTAATTAAAGCCCCATCAACATCGTTTGATGCTAATAGGGAAGGGAGCTTGGAGCCTCATCAGCAGGAAAGGAAACCAAACCTCTCCTCCTGCTGAGCGTCTGCTTGTAGTGCGAACTAAGGGAAGGGACTCCGTGCAGTGCCAAGAGTGCTCTCAGGACAGAAAACCCTCATCCTCCCATCATACCTACATTATGACTCCTCACAGGACAGAGACACGAGGCACGTGCTCAGCATCTCCTGCCGTCAGGACTCACTCATGCCCATATGCATTAAGAAGCTCTGTTACCTGCAGAGTTGGCATGGATAGATGGACGCCAGCGATAGCTGTGAGCAGTTGTCTTACACAGCAATTCTTTGGAAATGACACTGCATATTTTTGGGAGTCATGTGAACATCTCCGTCCTCACAGCTCCTTATTCTGCTGTCAGCAATCACTTCCCAGGCCCCAGCAGCTCTCTGCAGACCACGTGCTGACAGCTGAGTGGGACCTTCCCCCCTTGAAGATGTCTGTCTGTATGCAATCCTAAGTAAAGGACCTTCAGTTACCCAATGAAGATGCAGCAATGAGACGAAGAAAGGTGCCTTCTGCTACACGTTTGCTGAGAGGAAAGTGACTCATTTGGTTGCAGGGGTAGGCAATTGAAATGCACAGCACATCTCTGCATTTAAGGAGAAACCTACCCTAATCCCATTGCAATTTTATTTATTTATTAGCAGTGACGGAAGAGAATGCAAAAGGAAGGACAGCACGTCCCAAGGTGCCAGTTGGGTATGGTTTCTTCAAACTAACCCCTTAATCCTACAGACTTAGTTGCACTACTAAACCCAGAAATACAAGAGAATTGTGTTTAACGAACTGGACAACAGACCAAAGGAGACCTCCTTGTGCTCAGCTGCTACTCAATAGGAACAGAAACTGCCTTAACATAGCAGCTAAGCTTTGTTTCGTTTAATTGAAAACTTACTCAGTCCTTCACATTCTTGTGTGTCACATTGTGTTTTAAGGTCCCAACTATTTCACCTTGAACGGTCATTGAAGCACTCATCCCCTTCTGTAGAGGCCAGGAACCTGGAACTGTCCTTGCAGGGCTGGGTTAGAAGATGCTCCACTTGTGATAGTCTATATTTTAGGATACACACAGCATAAAGAAAACATCAGCTCCACTGAATGGAATGGAGGAAGTGCATTAATCCAGCAGGCACACAGGATCCCAAAGTAGACTTAACAAGAGGGATCAGCAGCTCTAAATACAACACTCACCCTTCTGAGATGATGGTAAATAACCCAGCAGTGCTGCACAGTCACCCTCGAGTTTTGCACATGCAGAAGACACCTGCTGAGATGAAGGTTACAAAGAACTTTCCCACAGTTGAGCAACAGGTGACTGGGCAAATGTTTTCTGTGTAAGGGAGAAGGGATGATTCTCCCTTTCGTAAACTCTGCGAGGGAAGCAACAGTAAACAAGGAATGCGTGAATGAAAGGCAAGTCACTCGCACTTTATGTTTATTCAAACTTGGATCAGCAACTTGCCATCAAGATGAATGCTAAATCAATTAACGACAACAGAATAATTTTGCACAGAGCAGCAAGAAGTGAGGTTAGAGGCAGTGCTGCATGCACAAGGACTTCATAGCTGTATGCACTTGTCCTACTTAGAATGCTAAATTCCTGATATGCCTCTGCAGCAGGCAATCTCTCCACTCCCCACTCGGCTATAAAAAGCAAGATTGTTGTAACCAAAAGCCAAGAAAGCGTCTGGGTGCTGCAGTAACCATTCCCTTGGATTGAGAGGGAAAAGCACACAGCAGGGACAAGCAGAAAGAATGTATCTATAGATATGTACATAAACCACAGTGCTGTAATTTTTGTATGTAGCAGTCATGTAAATAAATGTATGGTTTTTATAAGATACATATTATGAAAATCTATAAAGGCATATTTTTAGTAAAAAAGATGCTCTTCTTTTGTAAATAGTTCTCTTCAGAATAAAACAGACCATTTATATACTGTCTCAGCTCTCAAGTCACTGCTTATCCTGCCCACCTGCAGAAGCATCTTAGCACCTAGAAGCATCTTTAGCACCTCATCATCCCAAGAAATTCACCCAGACAGCACTTGCATGCGTTCTGCAGAGAACAAGGCTGGAGAAAGAATATTTGAGGCTTTTGCACCTCCTGCTGCACAGGAAAACAGGCAAACTCAAGTCTCCTCCACCATCCAGCCATCTGTATCCTTTAGGTGCCTTTACACGGAGGAGCATTCAAACTTTGACAAGTTTAGATAAATCTCAAATGACCAATGAGACACGACCAACGTGCCCCAGTTGCAGCTCAGGCCATCTGCATGTCGTGAAGATTCTCCCATCAACAGTCATAGCTGAACAAGGCAGGCAGGAGAAAAGGCATCGTCCCAGAACACTTGGGAGTGTTTCCATGACACTTCTCCAGGAGCGAGGAGCTGCCTTCAGTAGCCTGCTTGTGTGAACTGGCAGCCAGCACAGGACAGATACACATCCATTGTGATTTCATCAGTACCTCCTTCCCCAGAAAGAAGCCCCCTCCACATCCAGCAGAAGGGCTCAGCCCTGGCTTGCCACCCTCCACCTCCAGATGATGGACAGCAGAGGAAACAAAGCCTCAAAAAAGATTTGGCAGCTTGTAACCTTTATTTTTAGTTTTTTAAAATTATTTAAAAAGCATAATTAGAAACTTTCATTACAGAAATAATCCTAGCAATCCAGTTAGACATTCCATTGCTCAACATTTAGGAAACTTCACATCAGCACACCACTAGAGATGCAGTCCCCACCCCTTCCAATTGAACAGTCAGTGGCAAGAGCAGACATAACCACTCCTCTACAGCCAGTATTAGGAAAACACTCCCACTGCAGGAAGTTGGACACCTGGATTGGCAGAGTTCAAACTGTGGCCACAAAGACCTGGACTCAAAGAGAACCAATCTTCCCACATAAGAGAACACTCCAGGTTTGGGTGCACCATTTCCTCATTTTATTGCATCAGTTCCAGTCATTTCAG